TCCTACCCCCTCCCCCTTTTTCACCCCCGCCGTCTCCTCCTGGTGTTGCCAAATCCGGCGGTATGCATAAGATATGAGAGCTGGCGGAGCAGTGGAGTGCGGAGGGGACGAGAGGGGGAGGTATCGGTGACCGGTGGTTGGATGGTGACCTGGAGCCGTCGAGTACAGGAATGCTTTCGCTTTACTACTCGCGTCATATAATTATATTTTAGAAGGACTGCATTGACTCTTGGTATACTATAACGAATACAAATTGTTACTAATTTGTTGTTGAGGTTTGATTTTTTTTTCTTTAGTGGTGGGAGCGTGGCTGATGGAGGTTCCCCTCCTCGCAGGCGGCACTCACGCATTATGCAGACCCACCAAAAAAAGAAAAAAAATACTCTGAGGGCGGAGGAGAGCGAGGGAGGAGCCATGTGGGGGCAGTGTGCCACACACACACACACACACACACACGTGCGGGGGGAAAGGGGGGGGGGGGCACGCACACGCAGGTAACTGACAAAGGAGAAAGGAAAAATAAAATGGAAAAGTACTGAAGGAGGTGGGGGGAGGGGGCGTCGAGAGAGAATCTGCGCCTTTTTGATTTCCAGGCAGCGACGGCACGCGGGGGAAGCCCCTTTGATGTTCCCCGCCCCTCCGAACCCCCTCAAACACTCCTTGAACACAAGAACCTTGAAATGGGTTGCTATCTCGTGGGGAAATGCAATCTGTGTTTCCCACAAAGAGAGGGGCGCAAATGAATACAGGAGAGATGGCCAGCTGGATGACTATCGATAGCCGATAGGTAGCTAGAGTTTAGCTAACCTACACGCCACACAATCAGCAGACGTGGGCGGTAATTATTTTTCAGACACGTCCGTATCCAGAATTAAGTTTTACGGTTCAAGCAAACGGTTCTTTCCGCATCTCTTTTCTGTAGTACGGAGCAATCATATTATATGTCGTTACCTGTTGTCTAAAAACTGAGAGTACAGACGACCCGACTGTCACGGAGTGTCCGTTTACGGTGACCAGAAGCCTACGATGCTTCAAACAGTGTAACATGGATGCTTCGAGAGCAGCACCGTCTCCGGCTGGTGTTTCTCGGTTCGACGGAGCGATGCAGGGGGAAAAGGGGTTAGGGGGTAAGTGGGTAAGGGGGTAAAGGGGGTAAGTGAGGGTGAGGGGTAAAAGAGGGGCAGATTGGCGCCGGCTGAATGGGCCAAAGAGACGTACGAGACACGAGCTAATCCCGCGCCGGGATCCTCACACTCGGTCCCCCGCAAATAAAAATAAAAGTTGGCCCGGCCAGCAACTTTCCGGGAACGGATCCAGAGGTCGGGGACGG